GCTTCTAGCTTTGGACAGCGACGATTTACTTTATCTGAAAGAACAGATGGAAGCGGAGGAGGATGCAGAACGTCTTCTGAGACGAACTGAGAAACGGGCGTTTGCTGCCTTTAAAATATCCTTTCCTGTCTAATGTTCAGTAATCATGATTTCAGTCACTTATACCATCAGGCATCAGGCTTATGTTATTGTACATGCCTACCAAAGCGTTTTTTTTGTTCTTTCTTGACCATACATCACAAAGCTGCAACCCAAGCTGATTCATCGCCAGCGTCTGTTCCCTTGGCACTTCGTGTTGAGCCCAAACCAAAGAGTGGTATCAGGTAGCAAAAGTTCCTCTCTTCCTCTGTTATCTCTTGAATTTGTTCACACCATGAACTGGGGTTTAACTCTATGTAGGCAGCAAGATTTACTGAAGAAAGTTGTCGAGGTTAAACCAAAACGTCCAAAAGTCTCAACGCCATCAAGTCCGAGCTTATCACCTCCTACTAGAAGTGACAGAGGTCCAACAGATGCAGAGGTTCACAGAGATAGGCAGAACGAAGAAGCTAGTACAGTGTTGTTGAAGAAATTGGACAGATCAGAGGAGCAACCTGGAGCAGACCGAAATGATGGGAAAGAAACGGAAAGCAATGGGCAAGGTGAAAATGCTTTGAAAGGCTTGTTGGGATTAGCGTATGAAAGTTCAGATGAAGAAGACTAAAAGGAGCGATGAACCGTGAATAGGGTTTGTCTATTTCCTTTCTCAGTCTTCATACGTTTTGTTTTGTTGTCTCCAATTTATGTCGGAAGCTTACAAGAGTTTAGCTTTAGGAATCAATACAGCTTTTGCCATCTAGCCCCTAGTTGTTGTAATTGTTGAACTAAATGGGTTTGTTGAGTTTAAATGAAGATGATTTCTATACTTATCTCCATGTTATGTCATTAAGAGCTTCAAGATCAAAGTGCAATTTTCCAAGAAGGAGACGGAAAGAGAAAGTTAGGTGTTCTGTGTTTAGTGTACATAGTACTTAGATCTGAGGTACTTCGGAGTTGAACACTATCACACAAATCTCGAGATACAAAAATGACGAAAAAACCACTTGCTTTTGTGGTGAATATACATCATTACAAAAGAGATCTACAGAGGTGGAGTTATTGTCGTTGAGGATCATTGTCCCGTCTATGCAACTGGATTTTGAAGCCATTCACTAGACGAGCCGAAGGGAAGAAGGAGATACGATCTTCCTTAAGTTGTGTCCACCTAAACGATGTAACAATCATGAATCAGCTTCTGATTCAGATAATCAAAACCCGGAAGCAGAACAGTTACTGACCTGTATGTAGTGACGAAGTAATGCAGAAAGAGAGCGATTTGAAGGCGAGCCAGTTCTGCTCCTGGACAAAAGCGAGTTCCTCCACCAAATGGACAATAGAACGGGCTGGTTCTCCAATTCCTCTTTTGCTGCATTCAGAACAATGTATATTAGCTTCTAGATTGATACAAGGTTTATATGGAGTTTAGGAAGTAATGGCTTCCAATGTGAACACAAAGTAAAAACCTGAGTTTCAGGGTCAAGCCACCGCCATGGATTAAAGGAGCGACTTTCCTTGTAATAGCTCTCGTCTAAGTGGACTGCCGAGAGAAACGGAACAACGAAGCATCCCTTAGGGATTACATAATCTGCACAGAGCCGACAAGAGTTTATTTTTAGACCATGTTTCTGGTTCATAATACCAATAAATTGAAGTCGCTCTTACTTACCTTGATATGAGACATCTTCTTTCGCCTCTCTCATTAGCCAGATCGCGATACCTCCAAGCCTGAGTGTTTCATCTATTACCTGTTGAGAGATCAAGAAAGTTCTCCGTTGAGGTTTTTTAGCATTTGAGATCAAGAAGCAGAGCAGTTTCTCGGGATTCTTGATTTTACTTACGCACTGAGTGAAATCCATTGTCTTGTAGTCTTGCCATGTTAGCATTCCCCCCGCGAGCCTCTCGTGTTCCTCCTGCTCATTTGCGAAATGTCTCAGAAGGTAAACAATACAGAGAACCAAGAGGAACTAATTTGTTGAAGTAAGTTTTTTTATATGTACCATGATTTGGGTCATGGCTTTAGGACAGTGAGTGAGGAAGTAAACCGCAAAGAGCATTGTTTTCGCGGTGGTTTCATTTCCGGCAAACAAAAGATTGATGATGAAATCTGCCATGGAATCTTTTGGTAAGCTTTCTTCTTCAAGCAATCTTCCAAGTACACCATTCCCAGCAGTATCTAGTGCTGCTTTGTTCTGCAACCACTTCTCTATCGTCTTGTTTATCCTGTTTATGATCTCTTTTCTTGCCTGAACAAGAAACAAGCAAATCTCACCAAACCAGCTCCGAAGCGACAAATCAACCATTGGTTCAAATGTATGAAGTTTTTGTTTTTGAGTAGCTGATCATCATTACCTTCATTGCTTTGTGGTATGTGAAACCAGGCAAGTTCATAGGAACAGAGAGACATCCATCAACGAAATCAGAGAAAAGGCGAGACATTTCATCGACTTCTGATTCGCTAGACACTCCAAGAAGTTGGTTAACCATAAGATGAATCGCAACCTGAAGAACAGAACCAAACAAAGATCAGAACTCAAGAAACCCCTAAAGACT